TAGGAGCATATCTGGAAGCATTCCCCATAAGATTCAGATAAGAATCCAGTTGTAGAATTCTGCTGTTCTCGCAGTCGTAGTCGCATTCGCGATGACAGTCGCACTGGCAACGGCAGTCGCAGTCACAGCCTCAGCCTCAGCCTGCCTCAGCCTCAGCCTCAGCCTGCCTCAGCCTCAGCCTGCCTCAGCCTCAGCCTCAGCCTGCTTCAGCCTCAGCATCAGTCTGCCTTCAGCCTCGGCCTCAGCCTCAGCCTGCCTCAGCCTCAGCCTGCATCAGCCTCAGCCTCAGCCTCAGCCTGCCTCAGCATCAGCCTGCCTCAGCCTCAGCCTCAGCCTGCCTCAGCCTCAGCCTGCTTCAGCCTCAGCCTCAGTCTGCCTTCAGCCTCGGCCTCAGCCTCAGCCTGCCTCAGCCTCAGCCTGCATCAGCCTCAGCCTCAGCCTCAGCCTGCCTCAGCATCAGCCTGCCTCAGCCTCAGCCTCAGCCTGCCTCAGCCTCAGCCTCAGCCTGCTTCAGCCTCAGCCTCAGTCTGCCTTCAGCCTCGGCCTCAGCCTCAGCCTGCCTCAGCCTGCCTCAGCCTCAGCATCAGCCTGCCTCAGCCAGCCTCAGCCTCCTGCCTCAGCCTGCCTCAGCCTCAGCCTCAGCCTGCCTCAGCCTCAGCCTCAGCCTGCCTTCAGCCAGCCTCAGTCTGCCTTCAGCCTCGGCCTCAGCCTCAGCCTGCCTCAGCCTCAGCCTGCATCAGCCTCAGCCTCAGCCTCAGCCTGCCTCAGCATCAGCCTGCAGCCTCAGCCTCAGCCTGCCTCAGCCTCAGCCTCAGCCTGCAGCCTCAGCCTCAGTCTGCCTTCAGCCTCGGCCTCAGCCTCAGCCTGCCTCAGCCTCAGCCTGCATCAGCCTCAGCCTCAGCCTCAGCCTGCCTCAGCATCTCAGCCTGCCTCAGCCTCAGCCTCAGCCTGCCTGCCTCAGCCTCAGCCTGCTTCAGCCTCAGCCTCAGTCTGCCTTCAGCCTCGGCCTCAGCCTCAGCCTGCCTCAGCCTCAGCCTGCATCAGCCTCAGCCTCAGCCTCAGCCTGCCTCAGCCTCAGCCCTCAGCCTCAGCCTCAGCCTGCCTCAGCCTCAGCCTCAGCCTGCTTCAGCCTCAGCCTCAGTCTGCCTTCAGCCTCGGCCTCAGCCTCAGCCTGCCTCAGCCTCAGCCTGCATCAGCCTCAGCCTCAGCCTCAGCCTGCCTCAGCATCAGCCTGCCTCAGCCTCAGCCTCAGCCTGCTCAGCCTCAGCCTCAGCTGCTTCAGCCTCAGCCTCAGTCTGCCTTCAGCCTCGGCCTCAGCCTCAGCCTGCCTCAGCCTCAGCCTGCATCAGCCTCAGCCTCAGCCTCAGCCTGCCTCAGCATCAGCCTGCCTCAGCCTCAGCCTCAGCCTGCCTCAGCCTCAGCCTCAGCCTGCTTCAGCCTCAGCCTCAGTCTGCCTTCAGCCTCGGCCTCAGCCTCAGCCTGCCTCAGCCTCAGCCTGCATCAGCCTCAGCCTCAGCCTCAGCCTGCCTCAGCATCAGCCTGCCTCAGCCTCAGCCTCAGCCTGCCTCAGCCTCAGCCTCAGCCTGCTTCAGCCTCAGCCTCAGTCTGCCTTCAGCCTCGGCCTCAGCCTCAGCCTGCCTCAGCCTCAGCCTGCCTCAGCCTCAGCATCAGCCTGCCTCAGCATTCAAAATGTGGCCCGGGAATGTAATTCTGGGAACTCGAAGATCACGAATTGGCCTACAGTTGGCTCCGGGCATTCAAAATCATTCCCAGGAATGAAGTTCTGGGAACTCGAAGACCACGAAGTGGCCTACAGTTGGCTCCGGGCATTCAAAATCATACCCAGGAATGGAGTTCTGGGAACTCGAAGACCACGAAGTGGCCTACAGTTGGCTCCGGGCATTCAAAATCATGCCCAGGAATGGAGTTCTGGGAACTCGAAGAACACGAAGTGGCCTACAGTTGGCTCGGGGCATTCAAAATCATGCCCAGGAATAGAGTTCTGGGAACTCGAAGACCACGAAAAGCGTTACGGTTGGCTAAAAAAGGAGTCCCCGGATTCCCGCGGCACCCGTCCGGCATCTGTCCGGCATCTGCCCAGACCCCCCTGGGGAGTCATGATGCTCTCTTTTGAGACCACTAGAAACCTATCAGTCTTCGCTGTTAGGTAACAAAGTCCACACGCGCGCGGCATCGCGCGCACGCCAATATCTTCTTACGAAAAATCACCGGCGCCGTAAGGACTTCAAGGCCGAAGCCCCCGAAAACAAATGGAACGTCCATGGCAATGTTACACGATGTGTCGAAACAATCTCCGCGCGCGCGTGCCCGCAAGTTCTCACGAAACCCATGGATGTTTCAACACGTTCATCACATGCGACTGGGCGGGCCCGTCGCGCGCGCGCATGTCTAAATCATTCGAACGCCTTTGCGCCCTTGCTGGGGGGCACGATCCTTGTCAAGTAACACTATGCGAACCACCAGCGCCCGTCGGCTGCGCGCGCATGTCGAAATCCTATGAAAGTCTTCGTCACCGACGCGTGGACACAATCATCCGTCATCGGTTTGATCAGCACCGGCGCCTTCCTTGGCCGTGCAGTCGTTATCGACATCATCGCCACCCGAATCACAACTATCATCATCGCGCCTGCCATTACCGATGCCGCTATGACACCATGCCCGCCCGAGTCACCGTCTCACACTGTTTTGCCTGCGCGTCAGCGCGGCCTGCGAGACGCGCTGGGGAGCCCCCAACGGTCAGCGACACCACGGCCGCGTCGGTCGCGCCAGAGTAGCTGGGCGATCCGCGCGCGAGCCTGCGCGCTAGCGCGGCCGCAGCGATGCGCCAGCCATTGCCAAGAAGTCATCGCAATCGCCCCCGCATGGGTTTTGCAAACCACGCTGCGGGTGGGTGCGCCACCTGATTGCGCACTCAGTGCCGTTGACAATGCACTACGAACAAAATGACTTGCATCACATAGGTTGCTCCACAGTGACTGCAAAACCCAGATTGCGCAACATAGGTTGCCCTACCTACATTCTCCTTTCTGAAACAAAAAAATGTTCTATCACCCTCCCACCGGGGGGGTAAGAGACCCTCCGGGGACCGATGTAAAACACCTAGGATTCAGACCCAATGTCCATCCGACCTGTGACTTCATACTACCCCAGCCAAACCCGTACCTGTTCCCCCCATCCATGCTCTGCAAAGAATACTACGCGCGCACACTCACGTATCATAAATCATAAGTCTTCAAGAACCCCTTGCAAAAAAAGGGACGAAGTGCACACCCGCGCGCCGTCGCGCACGCATGCCGAAATCCTTCAAATCCTTGGATTTCGCAAGGATTTCAAAATCGAGTGTCCAAAAAATATGTAAAAATAATTGTTTAATAAAAAATGGTTTCGCAACACTGATTTTCTAAAGAAGCTTACGCGCGCGCTATTTCGAAATCTTGAGAAATCCCAGGCGTTTCAAGATTTGTTTGAAAAATCTTAGCAACAAAAAAAACAAAAACACAGGCTTCGCGCGAGCGCATCTCAAAATCTTCCGAACGCCCTTGCGCGCGTGCCGTCGCGAGAATCCGTTTGCAAAAAATGGGACGAAATGCATACGCGCGCGTCGTCGCGCGCGCATACTGGAATCCTTCAAAAACCTTTGGTTCCGAAGGATTTCAAAATCGGGTGTCCAAAAACCATACAAAAACAGTAGGTTTCGCAACACTGATTTTCAACAAAAGCGTGCGCGCGCGCTCTTGCTTCGTCGTCGTCGTCGCCGTCCTCCCTCCTCCCTCGTCGTCGTCGTCGTCGTCCGCTGTCTTTCCTCGTCGTCGTCGTCTTCGCATCATCGTAGTTTCCGTCGTCCTTGTCGCCGTGGTCGTCCTTTCTCCCTCGTCGTCTTCGTCGGCGTTTCGTCGTTGTCTCTCCTATTTCGTCGCCGTCGTCATCGTCGTCGTCTTCCCTCCTCCCTCGTCGTTGTGGTCGTCGGCGTCGCCGTCATTCCTCCTTTTTCGTCGTTCGCGTCGTCGCCGTCCTCCCTCCTTCCTCGTCGTTGTCGTCGTTGTCGCCGTCGTCGTGCTCCCTCCTCCCTCGTCGTCGTCGTCGTCTTCGATGGCGACGTCGTCGTCGTCGTCGTCTTGGTCGTCGTCGTCGTTTGTCGTCGTCGCCGTCGTCGTCGTCGGCATCGTCGTCGTCGTCGGCGTTGTCATCGTCGTCGTCGGCGTTGGCGTCGTCGTCGTCGGTGTCGTCGTCGTCGTTGTCGTCGTCGAAGTCGTCGGAGACGTCGTCGGTGTCGTCGTAGTCGTTGTCGGCGGCGTCGTCGTCGTTGTCGCTGTCGTCGTCGACGTCGGTGTCGTTGCCAAGTGTCATTTGGTACCCACCGTCACGGTCTTAAGAGATCTTGCGACCAAGTTGCGGGTGGGAGGGTGGGATGTTTGCGCGAGCAGTGGAGAGGACAGCTTCAATTTGAGCAAATGATTGATTGCACCACGTAGATTGCACCACATAGAATGATTCACGGAGACTGCACAACATCTTTTGCCAGGACTAGGAAAACACTGCTTGGGGCCCACGCCGGTTAACAGATGAGTCTAGCATACTCGCCTGTCGGTCTTCACAGGCGCAATGACACCCCCAAGGCTGAACAAAACGGCCTCACCAGAGCCCAAAATGGCCAAAGAGGGGCCCAAGAAGGACCCGCAAGACGCCACCAGGGCCTCCAGAGAGCCCCGAGATGACCTCAAGACTGGCCCAGAGAGGCAGCCCTGAGGGCCTGCAGATGGCCCAGGAGGGTCCCAAGACGGCCCAAGATGCCGCCACGAAGGCCCCAAAACGACCCCAAGGGGCCTCCAAAGATGCGCCTGGGGCCAGCGAGTTTGGGCCAGCTTGGACCAGAGCGGCGACGCATGAGGATGAGAATGAGGAGGAGGAGGACAAGGAGGAGGACGAGGTGAATGAGGAGCACGAGGAAAAAAACGAGGAGGGGCAGGGAGGGTGAGGACGATGAGGGCAGGGTTGTCCGCGCGGTCTCCTGCATGAAGCGCTGCCACTCCTCAGGCGTCCGCGTGCACATCGTGGAGTCCTCGAACACCTCCAGCGGCAGGTTCGCGTCACCGGGCACGGGGGGGCGCGAGTAGTCAACGCCGCGCGCCCGCAGAAGCTCGTCTACCGAGGGTAGGTGGTCCTGAGGGAAGGACGGAGAGGAGGATGACGACGAGGAGGGGGTTGCCTGGGCGGGTCTGAGAGGCTTGCGGGTCTCTCGTGGACTCTTCTGTGGGTACTCGGGAGCTGCGGGATGTCAGGACGAGCGGCAGGGCCGATCCCCATCTGCGACCCCCCCCTGGGATTGAATCACAAGGATGTGGCCTCCGACGTCCGCAGGGATCTGGGCCCGACACTGGCCTGCGGATACGAGACCTATGTTGCTTCACATCAGCAATTTGGCCCCTGCTGACTTCATGGAACGTCGAATGGAAAACATGAAAAACCGCCCTGTGAGCTCCGAGACCCAAAATTACTGATGTGAAGGATTTCGGCTCGTCGAGCGCAGGCTCGGAAGTGGTGGTGGACACCTTCCCCTCTCCCGAGAGGTCCGTGTACCCGGGCGCGCGCCTCATCGACGACCGGAGGTGCGACAGGTCGGCCGCGTCGAACGCGGCAGGGTAAGCCGCCTCGGAGCAGCGGGGGCGCACCGACCGAACCCCTCGCGCGCTGCATCGATATGTGCTTCTCGTTTCTGGCCCTCCGAGCTGCCCCATTGGCAAAAATTCTCTGACGCCGCCACTTTGCTGCACCCGCGCACATGATAACAGCACAAATCCTCGGGGAACGACAAGGAACCCCCAGCCGTATCCAGTGCTTCTTGATACTCCAGCCAATTCCACCTTTCTCCACTCTGCGCCTCTCCCTCTCCTCGTCCTCTCCTCATCCTCCTCATCCTCCTCCTCCTTCTCCTCCTCGACCTCGTCCTCGTCCTCCTCCTCCTCCTTCTCCTCCTCCTCCTCCTTTTCCTCCCCCTCCCCATCCATCCCCTATCCACATTGTACTGCCCCCCCTTCTCCCCATCCTCACCTCCTCCTCCTCGTCCCCCCTTCTTCTCCTTCGACTCCTCCTCCTCCCCTCCGCCTCTCCCTCCTCCTCCTCCTCCTCCTCCTCTTCCGCCTCCTCCCCTTCCTCCTCCTCCTCCTGCTGCTCCTCCTCCTCCTCCACCTCCTCCTCCTCCTCCTGCTCCTCCTCCTCTTCCTCCTCCTCCTCCTCCTCTTCCTCCTCCTCCTCCTCCTCCTCCTCCTCCTCCTCCTCCTCCTCCCCCTCTTCCTCCTCCGTAGCCATTTTGGCTCAAGCCGCTTCACCTCCAACATCTTGGCTCTATGTGCTCGCTCATGGCGCCAGATGCCGGGTGTACGCTTGGAGTGGCTGCGGGACTCGCCCCAGGAGTGTGGCGAGCCAGTGTGGGACGCGCGGCTGCTGCACGGCGGCAACGGCGTGCGAGGGCCGTCGAGTCGGCCGACAACCTCGTCAAGAGGCTCGTGAAGGAGAATCGCGTCTTGCAGGAGCAGCTGGAGGAGCTCCAGGCGGTCATCGGCGACTACTCCGAGCTCTCGGCGCGGCTCCTGCTTGTGGCCCCAGTGCTCGCGGCGGCGATTACGGGCAGAGCGCCGAGTAGGCTGCAGATTGCGCGGCGGAACACGGCCTCGCATTGCTTCCACGTCCAGGCCAGCGTTTCGGAGGTGGCGTCTCAAGCTGAATTGAACTGCATCCAGCGGCAGTCGAAGAAGTTGGAAATGATTCAGCAGGTGGACACCACGGAGCAGGTCAAGGCGGCAGATGCTGTGCTGCCTTCGGAGGAGGAGCTGGACTCGGAAGTGCAGGTCGTCGATCTTGCCCCGCCTTGGTGCGGCATGATGTGCACCTGCGGCACCACTGTCTTCCAGAGCGCGGCGACCGTGGAGACGGGTCAGGCCAAGATCGAGACGGCGACGCCTTGGGCGCCGAATCCGACGGCTCCGCCTTTCACCCCTCTCGAGGCCATGCACGAGCAGACCATGATCTTCAGCATGCGCTCGCGGTCGCACGGGCAGCCTTTCGTGCGGCGCCGTGCGAAGCTGGACGAAGCGTTCCGCCGCCAGCGCTGGGAGGCGAGCGCCGAGCGGGCTCGTTTGCTCGCCGACGCCGACGCCCTGCGAGGCGGCGCAGCGTCTGGCGACATCGGGCCCCCGCGGGGGGATGACTGTCCAGCGGTCGCGGTGCCGTCGGGGCCGACGGACGTCGACATGCTGCTCCGCGAGCTCGGGGCGGCGACGGCGGCCGCAGTGGCGGGGCAGGCTACTCCCACAACGGCAGCTGCAGCAGCACCTCCCCAGAATCTCGATTGCAAGCAATTGTGATGGATCTTGGCCAAAAGCGTACAAGCTGGAGAGTATCACCACTCTTTATCAGCAGTGTTGGAACGATCCGCGTTGCTCTTCATTTGGATTGGAATATTTGCCCCACGGAGGTTTGCGCTATCAATTCGCTTTCTTCGCCGTGGAGCTCGGAACAGAGTATGTTGTCCCACGCTGTCCTGCTCTCCGTCGCATATGGCGTCAACGTCGACGCGCTCGGCTTCGAGGTCAGGAGCGCAGCACGAGATATGAATATGACATCGTCATTGTTCTCACTCACTCACTCACTCCTCCTCTTCCTCCACCTCCCCATACTCCTCCTATTATTCCTCCTACTGCTACTACGACTACTACTACTACCACTACTACTACCACTACTACTACTACTACTACTACTACTACTACTACTACTACTACTACTACTACTACTACTACTACTACTACTACTACTACTACTACTACTACTACTACTACTACTACTACTACTACTACTACTACTACTACTACTACTCTTACTACTACTACTCTACTACTACTACTACTACTACTACTACTACTACGACTACTACAACTACTACTACTACTA